TACGTGGATTGTTTTCAGTAAATCCAGTAAGTGTATTTTCTCTTACTTACAATTTTCTGAATAGCCTTTTCTTTCTTCTAGCTTGCTTTATGATAAGAATACAGTATATAACACGTGGGAGATACAAGATATATATTAATCGACTTTATATTTTAGTAAGATTTCCAGGCAATAGTAAGCTATTAGTAGTTAAGTTTGGGGAAGTCAGAAGTTATACACAGACTGTCAACAGCGCAGGGAGCCCGTGCCCCTGACCCCCACATTGCCCAATGGTGGGTGGACGCTACCTTGTGGATGAATCTTGAAAACTTTGTGCTTGGCGGGCTGGGTGGGGAAGGCTGGGAGGGAGTAAGATGTACAAATTGGCAATTACGAAATAGTCATGGGGATGTAAAGTACAGCATAAGTAATATACTCAGTAATACTGCAATAACTATAATGGTGCCAGGTGGGTACTGGACTTATCGAGGGAAATTACTTCATCAGTTATATAAACATCCCACCATTGTGCTATGCACCTGAAACTAATAGAAAATAATTGACTGTTGACTATAATTGAAAAATTAAAAACTTGAAGAAACCAAAACATGCTAAGTCAACGATTTTCAACCTTTTTCATCTCACGGCACACATGAACTAATTACTCAAATTCTGTAGCACGCCAAAAAATATATATATTTTGCCGATCTGACAAAAATATCAGTATGATTTTGATTCATTCACACTGGACAGCTATTGCTGTGTTGGCTGTTGTTTTTTTTTTATTTGACCATCTCAGGGAAAAGAGGTCAGTGGCCCTGACTAAATAGTCAGGTATTGCATGTTTTAAAAACTCTCGGGGCGGGCGGGTTGAAAATCACCATGCTAAGTGAAAGAAACCAGACACAAAGACCACACGCTTGTGTGATTCCATTCCTAAGAAATGTCCAGAATAGACAAATCCATGGAAATAGAAAGTAGACTAGTGTTTTCCAGGTGCTGGAATTAGGGGGAGGTAGGGAGGGGCCCCTAATGGGTAGAGGGTTCTTTACGGGATGATGAGGAAGTTCTAAAGCTGGATAGTGGTGATGTTTGTACAACACTGTGAATGTACCAATTACCACTCAATTGTACACTGTGAAGTGGTGAATATTATGTTCTGCGTATTTCACCACAATTTAAAAAATTATTTTAAAGAGATTGCTTGAAAACTAACACATTAACTTCTACCTGCAAGCCACTGAGTCACAGAACTCACTCGTGTGACCCTCAGCCACAGGGGAGCCTGGAAAATGTAGTGCCCGTTCATACGGGGGATTTTATTACCAAGAAAGAAAGAGAAAGTGAACATTGGCATAGATGTCGTACATCCTGACACATTAGGGCCACTGGTGGCACTGATATTGTCAGGGTGGGGGGCCTGCAATTGTGAGAACGGCACTGGAATGAGAGTCCAGAGATGTCCCTCTGTGGGCAAATCACCTTCCGGGCCTTTACGTCCTTATGTCTGGATAAGGGTGGGAGTATATGACCTGTCTCCAAGGACTCTTTCCCTGTGATGTTTTTAAGAGTATATACGCTAATGAGTCAATTGTAGCGTTGATGCAAGGCTCGTTTTATTACTTCCCTTCATCAGGCTGATACAGAAGACAGCCCTGGGTCTTATAACAATCCCTGAAGCTATAAACTTAGATGTGTACTTTCCCACGCCTGCCCTTCCCCTTCCAAAAACACTCTGGCAAAGGGGGGTTGTGATTTCAGCTATGTCAAAGGGAGGGAGGGAGGGGGAACTATGGAGCCTAAATAATCCATAGACAGGATCATCAGATTCTTGATTTGGGGGTGGGCCAAGCCAGTCCTCCGGTTTAAGGGGTGCTGATGACCAAGGGCAGCAGCTAGTGGAAGGAGAGAGTTTCGGAAACCGCAGGGGAGGCTTTATGAGCAGCTCTCACCCTGCCCTCCCTGCTCCCGGACACAGAAGGAGGCCCTGCCCCTCCCAGCCCCCTCCCATGTAGAACACTCTATGGAGCACATTATCCCCTTCCAGGTGCTCACTCCCTCCTCTGTCAGGATCCCATGCCTGAGGGGAGGACAGTGCATAGTGAGGGACTCTCACCCACTAGGTACCTTCTGGAATGAAGGTCCTGCATGGGTCCCCCTTCCAGGGAGAGAACTGGGGTCCACAACAACAGGCGAGGACCAGTAAGACCTGGATTCAGAACCCTGGCTCTGCCAATCACTAGGTGTTGACCTCAGGTAAAATGCTTATCTCTCTGCACATCAGTTTCTAGTTTCTGTAAGGATTCCACTGAGGATATGTAAAGTGCTCTGTACACTGTTAGTAGCAGTTGACAGGCAAAAGATCAATGGCAAATCTGAGTCCGGTTTTTCCTCACCCTCCAGCCCAGAGAGGCCTTGCCACAAGCTCGCTGATGGGGAGCAGGCTCCTCAGTACCAGGGCTCACGTTCGGTGTCAGGAGAAGCAGAGATGACCCAGCCGAGAGCGCCCTTTGTTTCTTTTCCCTGTCCGTGCAGCCCAGTCCCAAGAACTCAGTCTTTTCTTCATCATTTTCCCCGTGGACGAGCCACTGTCCCTGGGATGAAAGGGCCAAGACTCTGCTGTGGGCACAGCTACAACCTATGGTGCATAACCCTTGGCAGAGCAAAGAAGGATGTGGGCGTGTTGAAGCTTTGTTTGGCAGAGGCTGTCAGGGGGACATTCTTTCTGCTTTCAAAGAGCTCACGGTCTGGAATGGTGAGCTTCACCTAGGGAGAAGACACACGTCCTTTCAAGTTAGGGAGCGGGGTAAAGAATCTCTAGGGGGCTTATGTTATCTGAACCCGCGTGTTCCTTAGGGCCCTTCTCTTTTCTAAAACAAGACAAGGAATAAAGATCTACCGAGTCTCAACTGGAGGGATGCACAGATGGTAGTGAGCAAGGCTGGGGAGGACGCAGGGGGTAAGGAGGTTGCAAGGCGGGGCTATTGTCCCAGAGAGAACTAGCGTCTACAAGCCATGTAGAGCTCAGGGTTGTCAGAGAGTGTCTAAGACCTGGGGTCTCTCCGTCCAATATTTAGGTACCGGAATGTTCATCTTCTCTCCTCCTTCCCTCTGTCCCTTCGTGCTTCCCTTTGTCCTTCTCTTTACTCAATAGATACTTGTCGATTGCCTGAATGTTTTAGTTCCTCTGAGCTTGTGCAAAAACCGATTAATTTATCCTTTCAATAACTATTTGTTGAATGAATGAGAGGATGTGTGAATAAATAAATCTTTAGTACCCTGAGCTTGTGACGAGATCTCCTCCTTAACCTCCCTCTCCAGTAGCTTTGTTTGGCTGGATTTCACTTAAAGAAGTATCTGTGATGATTCTCTCTGCCCCTGTCCAAAGCTGCTTGTGGGGAGGGATCCCCCAGCCTCAGGTGTTCCCTGGAGCCACACTCTCTTTGCCTCACCTTTCTCTTCTGGACAGATTCTTAACTGTAGCCAAACAACACACCCGCTCTCCTGTGTCTTGGCCTCTCTTGCCCTTGTCTGGAGTGCAGGCTGTTCCATTGCACCTGACAAAATTCTTTCTTCCTTCAAGGTCCAGCATTTTCAAGCAGCTTTTCCTGGTCCCTGCAGCTGAAAGTGATTCTTCCCCACCTGCATCTCCTAGATACCTGTTAGTGGGGAGGCCGGATTGACCCTCTTCCATCATTCACTGTGCGCTTGTCTTACCCACTGCTGTAGCTCTTTGAGGCTTAAAACTTCTTTTCATGCTTTTTACACTGCCCACATTGTGCCTAAACTAGGGTCCTATAAATAATAGGCCTCTCTACGCATGTACGGAATGAATCCCCCATATTCACCTTTTTTATAGACTAAATCTTGGGCTGTAGTCACGAAGGTCACTGCGTGACGTGAGTTTTCGTTGGCTTGTCCATCTAATCCCTCCGTTCATTTGTTTATCTAGTTGTCCCAACGTAATCAACAATGTGCCAGGTGTCAGGACAGCACGTTCCGAGGAAGGGAGACAGACTCGTTTATACAGAGAAGTTGTACTTGGCTGTGGGATGTGCCATGTACCCTCCTAGCTGTGGTCTGATCATCCTGGCAGAAGTCAGATTTTCTGTGCAGAGGCTTGGATGGTGAAATGTTGCAAACATGACTCAGAGGAACAAAACTCTTTAAAGGTTTATATAGGTGAAATGCCTCAGCCCTCGTGATATTGCTCATAAACTCTTGTCGGTTTAGCTCTATCGCCTCCGCAATCACGTGAGAAGAAGTGAAAGTGGGAAGTGAATTTCAAGGTGTTTGCCTTCAGGCTTGTCTTCTGAGATCTCATGGGCCTTTGAACTGCTCCATTACGCTGCTCCTGCCAGTGAGCATTTGGAAGTTCAGTCTATAGACCTACAAATGCTGCTCAGAGCCATGCTGCTCTCCCTAGTGTCTGACGCCCAGGCCAACGCCAGAGGCTGCACGTAGAAAGCATAGAACGCACAAGCAAACATTTGCTGCGTGTAGGGACGGTAGAAGGCACTTAGTGTCTGGGGAGATGCAAAGGGAAAAGGAAGGAAGCCAAACCAGGGTGGTGGATTTGAGAAAAGTAGCCTCCTCCCAATTGTACTTGAGCCCCCATCCACCAAGTAATGGTGTTAAAAGTGGACACACTGTGGGTGCTCTGGCTACACAGTTCTCCTGGCTGGTTGGGGGAAGCCACGCTGAGCACACGGCCTGCTCCAGGAGGGCTGAGTGACAGCCGCCCAGGCAGCAGGGGCAGCAGCTTGGTCGCAGCAGAGGGGCAGCAGTGTGCATAGTGTATGCAGATCTCCAGCTGCCTGAAAGGACAGAGGGGAATAAGTTGTGAAGTTCTCGCTATGCTGAGTCAGGATCTCTGCATTTTAATGCAATTTTTTCTAGAAGTTCAGCTGTGCCCTGACTAGCCCTGCCTAAGAGCTATCCCTTTGGCAATGTAAACCTGTTCCCTACGCCACTATTTCTTGCCTCCGAAGAACTAAGTTCCTCTCTTTTCCTTCTCACAGATTTAAGATTCGAGAATATCGACTGGCATGAGGCTGCCAACCAGCGTGAGCATCACACAGACAAGTACGACGGCGAGGAGCTCATCTTTCGAAGAGGCCAATTGGTCTCTTTTTCACTGACCTTCAACCGACATTTTGGACATGAAGACAGTCTGAAGTTCATAACCTCCACAGGTACCCACTCGCTGCTCCCCTCCACCCCACCACACACACACCTGAGTAACCCATGGGGCTGTGCATCCAGGGGGTGGTGACGGTGACACTGGGCCCACTGGACTCTGGCTCTACCCCAGCTCTGCCATCAACTTGTTGTGACTTTGCATTGACTTGGTGTGACCTTGGGGAAGTTTCTGCCTGTCTCTGAACCCAAGAATCCTAACCCTCAAACCAAGAAGAATCTGGCCTACATGGTCTCTCCAGGTGCTCCCAGTGCTAAAATGTGCTTTAACGTGCTTCCTTAGATGACGTCCCTCAAAGGACTCCTGCAGTTGTGTTGGAATCTGATCTCTCCCCACAGTCCGGCCAGCACTCCTCGGTTTCCACTGACCCCGTCTTCTTTTACAGGGCCCTCCCCCTCAGAATCGGCCAGGACGAAGGCTGTGTTTCCACTGTCCAGTGAGTCAAGTGGCAATGGCTGGAAAGCGCAGCTCGTGCACCAGAGGAACAGTACTCTGACCATCTCCATCTCCAGTCCTGCCAATGCCCCCATAGGACGGTACACGTTGAACATGCAGATCTCTTCCCATGGCAATCATGCTACCCTGAAACTGGGGACGTTTGTACTGCTCTTTAACCCCTGGTTGCAAGGTAGGCACCTAATCACCCACATGCCCAGCCATCAGCTAAGCGATGCCCAGGGAAAGGAGATGGGGTGGGTGGTTTTCATGGGCTCGGGTGTGATTTCCTCATTTTGGGTATTGAAAAAGCATAGAAGCTAGAAAGCAGAAGCCACAGATTTGAGTCCCAACTCTGCCACTTAACTGGCTACATGAGTCTGGGCAATCCCTCTACCTTTTTGAATCTCAAATTCCTCACCATTAAATGGACATCCTGCTATTTCCTCTGGGGCTATTGCAGGAATCTCAGATCTTTTACAAACTGCATAGTGTGGTGTAATCATAAGGGACAATGACTGCAGTACTATTGTGTGACATAGTGATAGCTTTTTCCCTAAAGAAGCCAGTTTCTCATTCGTGGGGTCTCATTTTCATGCTCTCAGATCATCCTAGCTTCTCTTTCAAACTCATAGTTTCCACAATATGAGTTGTAAATAGTATAGCCCAAGGCTTCCTTCCTCAGTGGAAATAGGGGGGAAGGCTGCAGGTCTGGCTAGCTCCAGCTCCTAGGAGCAGTACTCAGGAGTGGGAGGAGGACTGGTCTCTGTAGTCCTCTGTAGGACTCTAATCCCTAATAACTGATTTTTCTGTGTAAAACAGAGGATGGTGTCTTTATGAGTAACCCAGCTGAGAGAGAGGAGTATGTTATGGAAGATTCTGGAGCTGTCTTTGTGGGAAGTACAAATCGAATTAACATGGTTGGCTGGAACTTTGGACAGGTAAGAGGGTCATAGGGAGGCTGGGGTTAATGTCCGTATTGCCTGAAAAGTTCAGCAGTTGACCTCCCAGGCAGGCGTAAGTTTCCAAACCTGTCTAGTTGCCTACCCTTCTATGAGTTTATTTATTTACTCATTCACTCAGACAACATTTATTGACCACCTACTATGTGCCAGACCCTGGCTGCACAGTAAGAATACAGGAGATGAAAAGACAGATTTCTTGTCTTTGAGAGAATCACAATCCAGTGGGCGAAACAGACATATGATTAAACTAGGGCAATGAAGTGGTATTGGTGCCACGATACACAAATGAGGATAAGGCCCCATAGAGACACTTGGGGCAAAAATGTAGTTTCTATTAATTGATTCCATGTAAGAATGTCATTGAATTTCCTTGCTGTGTGCATTTAACCTTCCAAAGGGCCTTCATTACTGTAGTCCCCCTATTCCAGTTTTGCTCAATTTAAAATATCCTCAGAGATTTCCTCCACCATTTCTCTTCTAGCAGACAAATGAAGGCCTTAGATTCGGGTAACTTGGACGGGGTACCTTGGACATGCAGGAGGAGGCGGGCAGGTGCATGTTCTGCCTACCTCCAGACCCCATTCTAGTCTCTGATACATTTTACATGTTGGGGTTCTGTGTCAAATTTCACCAGAAGGGGAAAAAATGGGTGAGGACACAGAATGCAGCCACAGGGGGAAAAAGGCTACTTTTGATGGCGTGGTCTGGGCAATCCTTTCCCAAGAAGGAACATTTGATCAAAAACCTAAAGGAAGCAAGGGAACCAGATAGATATCTTGGAGAAGACCACTGAAGGCAGAAGGAATAACACTTTCAAGGACTCTAAGGTGAAAGAGAGCTTGATCTTCTCCATCTGAGAAACACTGGCTAAAAAAATGAGTCTTATTTTATGAAAACACCTCCAAATACCTTATTTAGTGAGATGCCTTATCTTTATTATCATTTCCTCAAGAGTATAAATAATATGCTGAAGATCACAGTCAGAGTTAAATGGAAACTTGAAGATGAGCACGAGCCAATCCTCTGCTGTACATACAGATGGAACAATCGAGGTCCAGAGAGTGATTTGCTCCCTGGTTCATGACACTGAGAGAGTCCTATTCATTTAGGGGCCTCTGCACAAGGTCTCATGTGTCACAAGAGCTCTGGATGGTTTGCAGGATGGGTGAGGTGGTTGTTCCTCAGTACCTCTCAGGTCTGGAGGCCATGGAGTGAGAGGACCTGGGCTGTTGGTGTGGTTCTCAGCAGTGTAGCCCCCGCACCCTTGATTAGCCAACACTGCTTGTCATTTCTTTCTTCGTAATACATGGTTCCATTTTGGACAGTTTGAAGGAGACATCCTGAACATTTGCCTCACTATCCTGGATAGTAGTCTGAATTTCCACCGTGACTCTGCTACTGACGTGGCCCGCAGAGGTGACCCCAAATACATTGGTCGGGTGCTGAGTGCAATGGTGAGTAGTGAGAAGATCATAATAACTGGGTGTTCCCACATGGCAAACCCAACTATGGGTTAGGCACAGTCATCTCACAAAGTGCCGCTGGTGGCCATGAGCATCCCCATTTTGCACACGCGGAGCACGAGGTTCCTCTAAGTTAAAGGACTTGCCTGATGGTGCGGTGGGTGGCAGAGGACTCGACCTTTTAGTGTCCATCAGGGATGGGAGGATGCAAAACTGAGATTTTGCTCCGTCCTGGGCCTGCCTGGAAAGGAGGGAAGTTCCCAAGTGAGCCTGAAGAGGTAAGCTCCTTTGTTGTGATCCGTCCCCTCCCCAACAGAGTGTTTGAATGTCAGACTAGAAAGACAAAAGGCCAACCCACTCATTATTATCTATGGGGGGGGTACTGAAGCCCAGGAGCTGAAATGACTTGCTCACAGCACACAGCCCGTGTGTGAGTCAAATAAAAGCAAGGCCTCGAGCTGCCCGTCCAGGCCCTTTTCACTCTCCCAGTTTCTCCACCTGAGACACTTGTCTCCCTTCCCCAAACACACACACGCACATCAGATCCTGAAGGACTCTCTCACTCTGCACTCAGTGTGCGGAGAACACCTCCATCAGAAACCATCCAGTGTGGGGTTGACCTGCTCAAGGGCAACATATTAAAAAGCCAAAAGTCAGAGAGGTCTTGATCTTTAATCCTCTGAAACTAAGTAATTACCCCAGGGGTGTCTTTAACTGCTTTTTTAATGGAGTAGGCATGTCCCAGCCTCTTTACTTTTGAGCTGGAGAATATCCAAGTTAACAAGCTAATTACATGGTTAGGAATTTGAACAACCTTCTCACTGGATGATAAATATCTGGGTGTAATCAAAGAGGGCTTAAACTGAACCTTGCAGGAAAGGAGTGGGGAGGCCCAGGGAACATGGAGGCACTGAGATGTGGGGGAACCAGGGCGGCTGGGAAAAGGTACAGAGAGAAAGTGGGACCTGGGCTGAACCTTGGAAAGCAAGAGGCCCAAGAAGGATGGGTTTAAAGCCAAAGCTGAAGTTAAGGAGAGCTGGCCTTCAGAGTGACTAATGAAGCTGAGCATCCTTGGCCCAGAAGAGGGTGGGAGAGGCCAGCCGGCTCCAGCAGCTGCTGACTCACTCTCACCCTTGGGACTAACCACTTTTCTCAGCGCCAGTTTCCTCAGCTACAGCTCCCTGCCGCTCTCTCCGGGCCTCCTGGCTGGGCTGGGCCATGAGCTAATTATGGCCTGTGTGGCTCTTTGAAATGTTCAGCTTTCAGCCAGAGATGACCCCGCTGATTACCACTCCAGTGGCTGGGCTGTACAATCTTCCCCCTGGGAGGAGGCCCGGTCTTGCCTGATCCTGAGATTGCTGCCCAGGCCTTCCTGGAGTGGGATGCGGAGCTCACCCACCACTGGGAGGCACCATGGGAGACTGGGAGAGGCTGTCCACGGCAAGGATCCTTCTGTTCCCAGACTGCCTGTTCTCACATGCCTTGCCTCTCGCAGACCCGCACAGAGAGAGGGAGCGGGGCTCGCAGGCTGGCAGATCCTGTGGTCTGGCCTCTCACTGCTGGGTTTGGATAAATGCTGGTAAAAGCGTCAGGATCCCTGAAAACTTGGCTGCTGGGAACACCTGCGAGCTTACTTGTCTCTTACTTTCTCTGTGTTGGAAGGTGAAGAACAAAGCCCTAGGCAGGTGAATGAACTTGTCCACAATCCCTGAACTGACAGTGCTAAGGCTGGGCTTGCTACTCCGGGTTCTCTTGTTTTTTCTCCCTTTTAACTTTGCATTGTAGAAAACTCCAGACTTTCACAAAAGTAGAGGGAAAAGTCAAATGACCGCCTACGTACTCATCACCAGCTTCAGCAATTACCCATTCCACGCCAGTCTTCTTTCATCTCTGATCACCTCCTCCATCCGCAGATTATCTGATAAACCCCAGATGTTACATCTCTTCATTAAAAAACATTTCAATATGTGTCTCTAGAAGACAACGGAACTCAGGCCTCTCAATTCCCAGCCCTGTGCTCTTTTCACACTGTATCATGGTTATGTTACTTGTATGAGGATCATGCCTTAAACTGAATGAATGAATGAATGAATGAATGAATGAATGAATGAATGAAAAGCAATATACCCTCTTTATTCTTTCCAAGAAGCTAGTTGATAAAATTCTAAAGTAATCCTCTGGAAGACCAGTACACCAAAGGAGAGTGTCAAACCTCAGAACCCCAAGTCAGATATCAGCAATAGCCTATGATAGTCTATGAGTTGTGTCAAGAAATCCTCTGCAGGGCCCTGGCCAGGTGGCTCATTTGGTTGGAGCGTTGTCTCATGCACCAAAAGGCTGTGGGCTCTATTTCTGGTCAGGATACCTACTTAGGTTGCAGGTTCAGTCCCCAGTAGGGTACATACAGGAACTGATCAGTGTTTCCCTCTCTCATTGATGTTTTTCTCCCTCTCTCTCTTTCTGAGATCAACAATCATATCCTTGAGTGAGGACTGAAAAAAACTTAAAAGAAATCCTCTGCAGGCTGGATTTCTGAACTTACTTTGCCACTGACAAGCCACAGAGCCTCAGTTTCCACGAGAACCTGTGGCACGTGATTGATTCAGGGGTTGGGGCAATCAAACAGGGCACATTAAGCAAAGCGCTTTTAAATTCATGAACTACTCAACACCCCTAGGGGAACATTATCACAATTTTCATCCCTAAGTCACCTAGAAAGACAGAGGAAATCCATGTGATTTCCTTCCTTCCTTCCTTCCTTCCTTCCTTCCTTCCTTCCTTCCTTCCTTCCTTCCTTCCTTCCTTCCTTCCTTCCTTCCTTCCTTCCTCATCTCGTCACCTAGTCCCCTGAACTCTGCGTGTCCCTCTCTGCTGTTTCATTTGAAGTTTTTTTTTCTTGCCCAGGTCAATAGCAATGATGAGGGTGGCGTGCTACTCGGGAATTGGAGTGGCAACTACATAGGTGGCCGGGACCCCAGGAACTGGAACGGCAGCGTGGAGATCCTCAAGGAATGGAAGAAATCTGGCTACAGGCCAGTCCGATATGGCCAGTGCTGGGTCTTCGCTGGGACCCTCAACACAGGTACTCTGGGTGTGCCATGCCCCTGCTGGGTGGGTGGGCAGCAGTGGGGTGCTCCAGGGTGTCGCCCCACTGCCACCTGAGGCCTCAGACTGGCCCTTGACTTGCAGTGCTGCGGTGTTTGGGGATTCCCGCCCGAGTGGTCACGAACTTCAACTCAGCTCATGACACCGACAGAAACCTCAGCGTGGACGTGTACTACGACCCCATGGGAAATCCTCTGGACAAAGGCAGCGATAGCGTATGGTGAGTGTCCAGCCCCCTCTGAGCACCAAGTCTGAGCAGCACCTTGCTCTCCCCAGCCGCTGGGACCCGGCTCCAAACAGGAGTTGGCAGGCAAGTAACATGCCAACACATGGTTTAGAATAGCACTTCCAACAGTGCTCATCACGCAGCTAGGGAAACCCGACACAGCTCTTCCCAGGGTTCTGCAGACTCTGGTGGTTGGCTCTACCTCACGGCTAGATGACAGTCTGATACCAGTTCACACCGTGGGTGATGTCAGAGGTGACTCACGGGCTCACAAACTGCGCTAATTGACAGGATCCATTAGACCCCATGCTGCTTTAGAAGATAAACATTGAAGCCATTGATTTTCCAGTAATATATTTACCTTACTTCAGATAAATCACATAACTTATAGACTTTCTTTTTTTAAAAAAACTACCCATTTTTTATGCTTATCTACTTTTTATTACCTTGGTTAATAGAATAAAAAGTGAATTGATTCTGGATCCAACTGAAAATAAGAAGCTTTATATGTATATGGACATATATATTTCTAACCATAAATAGACCATGTGTGTCTGTATACTCATATGCATATATCATGTATAATACATGCGAACTAGAAGTTACATAAAACTTATATGCATATATATGTAACTTCATATAGCAGTATATACACATGAAAGCTATTCACGGTTATACTATATGCCAATTATCAGATGGCAACTGAAAATAATTATGTCTATTTGTATTCCACCTGGATACCTATGTGTCTATGTAGAAAGAACACGCAGATGTCAGTAATCCATTGTTTTCGTCCATTTCAAAAGCAACACACCCACACAATCACGTGCATAGATCTGGGAGGTGATCTGAGGGCAGATGTCATCTTATTTCCACATGTTCAACTTTGTGGTAGTCGGTATAAAATGTTCTCTATTACTTGTTATCCCCAGAATAAGTACATCCAAATTTTCTGAGGTGTGCTTACTGTAAGTAATGGAATAGTAAAAAAAAAATTAAAATGAATGGGAAACGCTGTTAAAACAAACAACAACCTTGAGCCAAGAACGGAAGTGCATAATATAAGCCGCTCCGAAGGAGAGTGAGGCTCATGTAATCCCCCCAAGGTCACATGGATTCAAAGCTGGTTTTTAGGGTGTTCTCTCTGGATCTGCATGTGCACAGCTTTTTCTCCAATAGCATTGCTACTGATGCAAGGGGTTGCTCTCCAGCTTCTCTTAAATGAATATCTTTTCTTCTGGGCTTTTTCTTTGTCGTTTTGTTCAAAATCCCACTGCAACCTGTTCTGATGGTTGGGGCAATGCCATTCCTGGCCCTGGTTTCCTTCCCTAAAGGAGATGACTGCTCCAAGAAGGTGACTCATTTAATTGGCAGAACAGGGGGTCCCTTTTGGCATAATCCTTCCGTGATTGTCCTGCACACTAAGAACTGAGGCAACCAGAAAGCTTAATACTCAACCCCTCTCCTGAAAGCATTTCTGGTGCTGATAGTGACCAGGGCATGGGGAAGTCCTGTTCATAGAGGCTGATGAACGACTCCGGATGCTGTGTGGAGCACCCGGTGAGTGACTCAGACAGTGCAACAACTCATGGAGGGAGTCACCAAAAAAAGCTTCTAGGGAGTGGGAAGGCGGGGCTTCTAAACTGAACTTGGAGTTGGAACCCAGATCTCTTGATCACTGATGCTGCTGCCTCACATGGGCTTCATAATTCATTCCAAATACAATCATCATGGGGAAGTATGGTCCCATGGGGACATTCCAGGGTGTTTCTAGATGTCTTTTTTCTCCCTTCTTCTTCTTCTTCTTCTTCTTCTCCTTCTCCTTCTCCTTCTTCTTCTCCTTCTCCTTCTCCTTCTTCTTCTCCTTCTTCTTCTCCTCCTTCTTCTTCTTCTCCTTCTTCTTCTTCTTCTTCTTCTTCTTCTTCTTCTTCTTCTTCTTCTTCTTCTTCTTCTTCTTCTTCTTCTTCTTCTTCTTCTCCTCCTCCTCTTCCTCCTCCTCCTCCTCCTCCTCCTCCTTCTCTTTTTTCTTCTTCTTCTTTTGCCTCTTTAGAGGATGTCAGGGACAAAAGCTCTGACTTTTCCTGGGAGTCTCATCATCCCTCCCCTTCCCAAGACCCAGCAGCCTTTTCTGAACCCTCCTCAGAAAGCAGTGAGTGCTGCTGCTCCTCCCACCCCTTTTCCTACTGTCTGTGGGTGGGGAACCTGGATGGTCTGAGGACAGGGAGTCCTGAGTCCTAGTTTCAACCCCACCACCATCCTACTCTAGCACTTACGGAAGCCACCTCATCTTTCTGGTCCCAAGTCTCTCCATCAGTGAACTCGGTTGGCCTAAGACTAGATGTTCACTTCAGGTTTCTACCAGCTTTCATCTTTTGATTCTCTGCCACCTCAGCTCACCCCGTGTTCTGCAGGAGAGCTGCCCCTCCCAAGGGGGCCCTCCTCTCCCCTCTACGTGGATCCCACCTAGGGTGCGGGTGTTAAACCACCAGCCATTTTCTGCCTGGGGTGAAATTACTAACCTATTATTATAAGGACAGTTTGGGTTTGGACAGGAAAACTTTGATCTGAGTCTTTGTATGTTACAAATGTTGAAAGCTTTTAGAAACCAGTCCAAATTTTCCTGAAAGTGTTCAAGTGAGATTACGCATCTGAAAGTAATTGATAATAGTAACAGCAGTAAGTAATAATTCATCGAGCAGTTGCTGTGTGCCAGGTGCTCTTCTAGGGGCTTACGTTTACTCTTCAAAGACGATGAGGTGGGCACTATAACGACCATCCCAGTTTTACACTTGAGGAAACTCACGTACCCAGCAGTGTGTAACCAGAAAGTGGTGAGGTTGGACTTTCCACCCAGGTGGCTCTGTAAACTCTGGTGTGCCAGAGACATGCCAGAAAATATTTATTTTCTTTTTTTCCAAGCAATATTTTTATTATTACTCCTGGCTGATGTCTGAGAAATCTGACATCAGAAGGGTTGACGGGGCACCAGCTGGGGCTCTGGTTAGATTATGTCTGTCCGACCCATGCGGATGGAAAAGCTGGGTTCTCAGGGTGTACTTGGGCAGCAAATGCCACTTCCCTGTAAGACTAAACCCCGTCTCAGGGGTTCAGTGTAGAGAAATGACTCGCCCAAAGTCAAACTGTAAATTGGTGTCCAAGCTAGGAGTAGAGCACAGGGATCTTTCAACAAGACTCTCCCAAGTCAAAGAACATTAGGACTCAAAGGAATTGTAGAGAGAGACCTTCTCACTTTATAAATGAGAACACAAAGGCCTGGAGAGAAGTTAGGGTAAATAGCTGGAGACACGTAAGCACTCTAGATAAGTGTATGACTCCGTGTAAGTTCCTTAACTTTTCTGTACCTTCACTTCCCATCTGCGAACTGAAGAGCTAGGTCAGGGGATCTCAGCAATTTCCTTCAGATCCCTCTTTAAGTCATATTCTTCTAAGCCATTCTGCTCATAACAATGGTTTGGCTTAAGAGGCACCAGGTTCTGCAGTACCCACTCCTTGAGAGTACGGATGCTTCGTAGGGAGTTATGTTTGGGATGCTCTTATATACAGTTCCCTTCTGGACCACTGTATAGGGTCTCTGGGGCCTGCTCAGAAACCAAGAGATTTGGAACAGTCTGGCCAAGGTTATCTTTATTTTGACAATTTGGACTTGCTTTCTTAATTTATTTGACTTGATTCCTCTGTCTGTGGACGTTGTAGAGCTCCCAGGTGGAAGGCACATGGGATTGCCCTGCCCTGTCATCAGGGAGGTGGAGTTGGCCAGTTCTGGAGAAGAGCTGGCACCCCTCCCATCGGCCCTAGCCCCTGGCTCCTAATGCAGTCTCTCCATGGCCACTAGTTTCCACTAACACTTAACCATCCCCAACCTACCGAGAGCACCTCGCTCAGACCTGCTGCAAGGAAACCTAGGCTGCAAGAGCGGCCCCAGCCCCAAAGTAATTCAACTCAGAAAACGTGACTAAGTGTGTCCTGCGTGCCAGACCAGGGTGCAGGTTCCTCACCTCACTGGGCACTGGGTACCAAGAGCAGTGAGACCCAGGAGCCATGCCAGAAAATTCATAGCTACATCAGAAGATTGGCGATTTTGGAATAAAAAAGTCAAAGTTACTGTAAGATTGCTAGATAGCACAGAGGTACGGCTAGCACTCTCTAGGCATGTCCAAAAAGGAGTGTTTGGAAGGACTTCCCAGTGGGGAGCGGAGGCGTTTGGGGTCACTTTCTAGACCTGGTTTCCTAACCCTGTAAATTCAAAGATGAGTGTAACTGAGTTTCTGTCTCTAAGGACCCTGGTCTATTAACTCCAAAGACTTCATTAGAATTGACTTGGGTGGAGGGAGAGAGAACGGGCAGGAGCACATCTTTCCATCAGTGCCTCAGGTAGTTCAGACACCTGCCCCCGTCCTTGTCCTGAGCTTCTGATACTAAAGCCCCTCCAGAGGGGAACAGAGGCCAAGTCCAGGAGCGTGGCCCACACAGAAACGAACCAGGATTTCCATGGTGGCGCCCGGGGCCTTTGAAAGGCACACACATCCCAAAGAAGTGGGAGTAAAGTGCTGGCTTCTGAACCAGGGAGGAACCAGGATGTGTTTGTTATCTGCTCCGTCTAAAATTCCCACCTTGCAAATAAGTATTAAAACTGCTACTTAGCGATTCTTTTACCAACCCGCCCTTCCTGTTGGGTTCTCTGCCAGGAAGAAAATGAATGTGAAACCGGGCGCTGTTACTGCTTTCTCACCCCTCTCTTGCTTCCTCCGTCCGTCTGTCCTGGGTGAATTCTAACTGACCTTAAAGGACCATTCAAAATGACATTTTGTGGGTCTCTCTAGAGATCATTTTTTGTGATGCCTTTTTTCACAAATATAGGAACTTTCAGAATATATAAATCTTCTGTAATCTGATTTTTAACATACTTTTTACTATTTGATCACTTTCTACCCAGTCTTTTCCCTGTGTGCTGTTTGTGGATTGGGATTACATGG